TAATAAAATGTTTTGTATAAAAATATATGACTTAAGCGGTAATGATAAGAGGACCTGGCCTTTGAAGATTACACACAAAAGCAAACCACAATCCTCATGAAATAGACTGCACAAAGTTCACATGAAGGGGAATAGTGAAATAAAACACTTAATCAATGTAAAACAGCTTTTTACTCTGCTTACTTTAAAAATATCCATGAGTTTAAATTGCTGCAGTGCTTTCAAATTGCCAAAAGAAGCAATAAATAATGACAGCATACAATATGGTGGGGTTAAATGAGATCACTTCAGAACAGGCTATCTCTAAAGAAAGGTATTCTCCATTCTAATTCCTAGATGGATAAACTTTGCCACATATATACAAATGCAAGAGGGTCCCTTCTACCTTGATGTGCTTTAGTAATGTATCTGCCCTACACAACTGTTTAATTAAGATGCAATAAATTAGTATTATCCTATAAAGAATTTGTGTCAAATAAGAACAAATTAAATTGATTATTAGGGCTGTAGTATGGCTCAGTGGCAGAGTGAGTGAACCCTTGGATCCAATCCCTAGTATACAAATGACAGATACTAAATCAGGTGGTTTAAAAAGAAGAAAGATTGAAACTTGTAGGGAAATGATTAAAATGCTAATGCTGACATTCTTAGGTATTTTAGAATTAATAATATCTACATTTTTGCAGGAAAATGGAAGAACTGGAAAATATTAATACTAAGTGAGATAACCCGTGCCCAGAAACACAAGCATCTTATGGTGGGGAGGGAGAAGAGCTCTTGGACTTTCGCTTGGCAGATTAGGTGGAGACTGTGCTGTTTGGTATTTTATGGGGCAAATGTATACCCCAACAAAGCCGAGAGGAAAGAAAGGAAGATCCACGCACAGATGGAAGGGGATAAAATGTGCATTAACAGCCTCCTTTGCCAAACAATGTACCTTATCTGGCTTCCGTGAACCATACAACAATTAGTTTATATTAATTAAATTCAGAAAATGCTTCCTACAGCATTCCTTTTTTCTATCCTTCAGATTAAGTATCATGATTCTTCATTGGTGGATCCTCTCTGGCAGACCATAAACATGATAGGAATGTGTGTGCTCTCTGAGGACAAGGTTATGCCACTCAATTCACCCTTAGCACAGAGCAGAGGCGAGCTGAGCAAACATGCAGCCTCACAGAAGGGCCTCGGCCTCCAGAGGCAGGCCTGGCAGGGGCATCCTAGAAGAAACACAGGCAGAAGGCTCTCTGAGGACTGGCCCAGGTGTGCTTGTAAACCTTACCCTCCTCATTAGCTCAGTACTTTCTGAAGCTGGTGGAGGTGACCAGCTGCAAACACACAGGACAGAGCATGTGGTCTCCCTCTGTGAGCTCAGAAGCCATCTGTCTAAGGCAGAGAGATGATGCAGAGCAGAGAGGACTGATGAGGTGTCAAGGCTTAGGCTCAGACACAAGCTCCTCTACAGATGGCCAGGTTCTGCTGGCCGCACAACAAAAAGGACATGAAACTCTAACTGGGAGGGTTGGAGCGGAACTCAGAGGTGCTCCCTGTACCAAGGCAGATGTAAGCCTGCTTCATGTCACACGCAGAGGTACTTTTGATACCTGGCCTCAACATTTCTTGCAACTCCTTTAAATAAACTACTTTTGTTTGCAAACTTCCTGCTTGGCTGGATAATGTGACCTGCATATTAATTAGTTTGCATGTTCCATGTAAAAATTTGGAGGAGCATTAAAGAAAGAAAAAATATCTTCATTGTGGGAATAATGGCTTTGTTTAAAGCACTTTCTACTTCAGCCCTCTTTTCAGCCTCACTAAAATGACAGGCATATATATTTTCTTGTGACTCTACACAAGGTTAAGAAATAAAAGCTGTGTCCCATCTCTCATTTTTAAGTGGCGCTTATCTTTCCAAGGACAATGGGATTTATAGTCTCAAATGGCAGAACTATACATTATGAACCTTAAAGGATTTTTTTTTTTTTTTTTTGCTGCTTCCTGGTGGCAGCAGATGCAGAGCAGGGTGTTCAGTGAAACCTCAGTGTGCAGGAGGTGAGGCAGCTGGGTGAGCGCCATCACCTTGATTAGCGCCGTCAGTCTGGTGAGCACCCTCAGCTGGGTGAGCACTCTCAGGTAGGTGAGCACTCTCAGCTTGGTGAGTGCTCTCAACCAGCAGCCTTAGCAGAGGCAGATGGTCAGGAACCACATAGCACTTCTGGGTCAGGAATTCTGAGTGACCCACACTGAGCAAAACTGTGTTAATACTAACAGGTGAGAAACCAAGGCATGAGTCACTGAGCTAGGTCAGATGAGCTGAGTCCATTCTTCTGGGTCTCCTGGGAAACCTAGCTCAGTCTTAGGATATATCATAGAAAGATGCATATTTACAACAAAGAAACTTGAGGGTTAAATTTCTCTTTATGGATGAATTCAGTATAGAATTGCTCCAAAATTTAATTCTCCTGTTTGTTTAAAATGAAGCTTTATTTATTTATACAAATTCAATTTCTTCAGTAGTCAAGATATCTCTTTGGGAAGGTGAGAAAATGGGCCTTTGGGAGGGAGCTAGTGACTCCATGTTCACGGTCAGGGCACAGCTTCTCAGCATTTGTCCAGTGGCCTCAGTGTGACAAGGATGATTGGTGTTTGTAAAATCTCTGTGTCTTACCACAAATCAAAAAGTCAAGATTACTAAAGCTCATGATATAAACATTACATTGTTTAACAATGTAACCTAGACCACATTACCTGAAGGGAAACCCATAATGGAGAGGTCACTTCCTTCTCAATGACAAAAGCTAGACAGATTTAGTATCTCAAGCCAGACAAGAAATGCACAGAAGTTTGGGGCCTGAGGGAAGCAAATACCTGCGAAAGGGGCTGGCAGCTGAACTGGCTGTGGGGCCTGGGTAGCTCTAGTGTCCCCTGTTCCATCCAGGGGCACACTAACGTATGGTTCCATCCAGGCATCACACACACAGACACACAGACACAGACACATGCACACGCGCGCACACACACACACACACACACACACACACACACACACAGCAGTTTCTGCGTGAACAGGCAGAGGGAAAGTTAGACAGAAATGTCCTGAACCCCAATGCCTTAATCAAGCAGAAGAGATAGAATCTTTTAGTCAATAAACACCAGTTCTGGGCTGGGTGGTTCACTGGAGGGTTCACAGCTCAGAGAGGCAAGGCCTGCACACAGGAGATTACTCAGTAACTGCAGCACTTGCAGTGTCTGTTTCCTGGTGCTCTGGGAACAAGTATTTCTCTTTTTAAAAAAACTTAATTTAGCCGGGTGTGGTGGTGCACGCCTTAAATCCCAGCACTTGGGAGGCAGAGGCAGGCGGATCTCTGTGAGGTTCAAAGCCAGCCTGGTCTACATAGTTAGTTCCAGGACAGCTGGGGCTACAGGGAGACCCTGTCTCAAAAAGACCAAAAAACAAAAGAAAACAAAACAAAAACCCAAAAACAAAAACTTAATTTAAATTTTATTTTGCAGTGTGTGTTGGCATGCAATGGTGCACAGGTGGAGATCAGAGGACAGTTTTGGGGAGTCAGTTCTTTCCTTCCATCATGTGAATCATGGGGCTATGGGGCTTAGACTCAGATCACCAGGCTTGGTGGCAGATGCCTTTACCTGCTGAGTCATTTTACTGGCCTAGGAGCAAGCATTTCTTTTTTTTTTTTGAAGCGGGGTCTCTCTGTGACCCCAGCTGTCCTGGAACTCACTATGTAGACCAGGCTGGCTTTGAACTCACAGAGATCCGCCTGCCTCTGCCTCCCAAGTGCTGGGACTACAGGAGTACACCACCACGCCTGGCAGAGCAAGCATTTCTTAAAGAAGAATAAGACCTCCTGTCCCCCAATGGTACTAACAAAAGAACATTACAGTCTGTCCAAGATGGAAAAGCAATAGTTTATGGATCATACTATACTTGTTTCACCTGTAAATACGGCATACACTGTCCAGTCCTTACTAACCAAAACAGGCAAAGGAAATACTAAGATACCTATTTAAATACATAGTCATCAACACAGTGGTTATCTCTGCAGAAAGATCATGGTTTTGGGAGAGAAATGGAGGTGAAGAGCAGGGCTGGAGCAAGAGAAAGACTGTTCATTTATACCCTTTTGTGTGAATTTAACTTCATATAATATGTATGTATTACCCTTTCAAATACATATACATTGATCAATCACATTTTGAGTAAAACAAAACAAGACCCTAGGAAAAGTTTTACAGTTTAACAGCACTACTGAATAGTGACAAATAAAAGGTGTTGGTTAATAAAAAATCAACAATCTCAGGAAAAACCAGACCAATAAAATAGGCTGTTGGGTTGGAATAACTAAAGTTCTCTATTTCCCATTAAATATGATAATGGTGAGAAATGATTAAGAAATGCTGTTATTTACTGCATACTTACTATGCAACGTTCTATGTACATTATACTTTCAAATGCTGTCATCATGGTGTTGGTCTAACAACCTTCAGAAATGGGGCTGGCCACCAAGCCTGATGAACCAGGACGTACCAATTCCTGTAAATTGCCTCTGACCTCCATACATGCACACACAAAATAAATAAATGCAATAAAGAAAAAAAAACGTTAAGAAAAAAACCCACCCAACATTCTAGATAGTAAAAATTAAATGCTGAGGAAAAACTTGAAAGCTGGCAAGAATATGGATGCATTACCGTTTATAATTGTGCTTGCTCCCCAGACTCTGAAAATGCTAGCCAGGCATGGTGGTACACACTTGTAATCCCAAACGCTTGGAGGGCAGAGACAGGAGAATTAGCAGTTTAAGGCCAGCCTGGGCTACATGAAACTCCATTTTAAACAAACCAAACCCAAACCAAACCAAACCCAAACAAAAGAACAGAATGGAATGTGAAGCCTCCCATACAAGTGTCCTAGGGTGATAATGAGGTTTGGCATCTAACTCTGTGATAGTAGACATATTTTACTTCTAGAAACTTACCAAGGGTGTGTCTTTTCCTCCTACAATGCTGAGACCAAGCCCTGAACGCCCCTTGGATATTTCTATGATCATTTCCTGGCCAGGGACAATGGGACATGTTGCAGGGTCCACTGAGAGAGGTGCCTGGAAGTCACCTGGAAAGTAACAAAATACAGAGTGATCAGCAAGTAGGAGACTCTACAGCTCGTGTCCCTTACTTGGGAGTGCAGCATCTGCATGTGTTTACCACTGCACTCCCTCCTCTTGACTTACCTTCATACCAAGCATCAAGGTAAAAGCTGGTCATTACTGCCTGCTCACCTGAGGGATGAGATACAATATTGCTATGGCATTTTTTGAGATTAAACCATTAATTCATCCATCCCTCAACCCATCAATTTTAGGACTACTTAATTTTTAAAGCATAATCTCAGCAGTCCTAAGAGCTGCCATGAGGTTTGGCTGGGTCTGCCCACTTTCCTTGAGTCCTGACTCTGAAAGGCGTGGCTATTCCTGTTTTGTCTTCTTTTGCTTTTGGGTGGTGGCCAGAGCCTAAGTGTGCCTTTTCTGGTACTCTCCCTGAAGCCCTACACTCTGCCATGTGGCTGTCTGCCACCAAGTGCCTGGCCTCCATGCAGGCTTAACTCAAACAGTGTGCCTTTTTTCCTTTTCTCACTCCCCTCTTCCAGGCAGCTGCCAAGATTTACAGCTTGTCTGGCCTGGAGTTTTTCTTTTAAACGCTAATAAAATTGTTCTCAAACTTCAAAAAAAGAAAAAAAAAATCTCAAAATACATGATGAAAACAAGCATGGGAGAATTTAGGCTGACTAAATTTTAGTTATACAAAAGCCTATATTACAACAAATACAGAAGTGGCGGTGACAGAAGGGTTTAAGTTACAAAAACACTAAGAAATGATGCCTAGGGTGTTGGCTGTAGCTCTGTGGAGGAGCATTTGCTTCATATGCTTGGGGTCCTAGGCTCAATCCCCAGGACTGGCCACCCCAAGAAAAAGAAAAAAAAGAAACTGTGTTTAAATATCCTCAATCAGAGCATATCATATCAAATGTACCACGAAAATGTGGTACATTTACACAATGGAGTTATACTTAGCAATAAAGAAAGATGAAATAATGAAATTTGCAGGTAAATGGATGGGTCTAGAAATTATTATACTAAGTGAAGTATATAACACAGACTCAGAAAAACAAAAGATGTATGCTCTCCCTCATTTGTGGATCCTAGCACCAAATCCTTATAAGTGAGTGCATATCCTGATGCAACTGCCAGGGCCAGGACTATGGAAGGGAAACAGGGAGGTAGAGGGAAAGAAGGAACCTAAGAGAGAAGAATAGCAGGATAAAGGTGTCAGTAAGGGACAAATATGTAACAAGGGGGTAGTTAAAGGGGAGGGGTGGGGAAGAAGGGCTATACAAAGAACTATGGAATAAAGGAGAAAAACTCCAGATACAAAGTGAAAAAAAAAAAAAAAAAAAGCCTTAAGCACAGAAGGAACCCTACAGGGATGGAAGAAATCCTTTCCATAAGCAATATGGTTGTTAAATGAAAATCCCAGTGCCAGAGCTGGGTTGCCTCCCTATGAGCTGTTGGCCTGAGGGGCCCTGGAGGTCCCCAAACAATAAAGGCCATTGCCAATAATGATGCCTGTACACCGGAAGTGGATGGAAGGACCTATCGCTGAAGACACTGCTTGATATGAGTGCAGGAGAGGGAGAAATCAAGCTTGGACTAACCTGGAAACTCCCTGCCACTGGATGGGTGGCTCTCATGGTGCCAAAAGGTGATATGCAGATGATGGGGGAAAACTGTCCCCTCTAATTCTGCTCAGTGATGAACCCGAGGTGTTGCACTATCAATATACCAAACAAGATGTTGCTGCTGGTAAAATATTGGAGTGTCTAGTGTGTGTACAACCAGCAAATTTTCAATTGGCTAAAATGCTCACTCCTAGGGGGAGAATACACATCTGTTACTGTAGACCAGACCGATGTTTGTGTCACGTTCCTGCCCCCTGCTCCCCTCCCCCATGGCAAGGGAGAATATAGGCCTCAGTGGGAAGCCACTGCAATTGTTTTGTTAGATGGATGTGATGCACCTGCTAAAGTATCATTCAAGTGTTTGTGTTTACTCCCATAGGTTATTATAGCAGCCACTGTTTAGATGTTCTTGATTCTTGCTGTTTTTTTGTTTGTTTGTTTGTTTTTTGTTTTTTTCTGGAGCTGAGGACCAAACCAAGGGCCTTGTGCTTGCTAGGCAAGCATTCTACCACTGAGCTAAATCCCCAACGCATTTGTGTTTTTATAGTAGATGGAATCCCATTGAAATGGGCCAAAACCCCATGGAAAACAGATGATGCAGAGACCCAAAAGTTCAGGGCCTTGTTACAACAGGAGGAAGACCATCTCACACCTACCATCCCCTCCAAGGCTCAGGGACTTCTGCAGAAGAGGTTGGCAGAAAGAAGTAAGAGCTGGAGGAAGGGGTGGGGTGTTAACTAGAAGTGTACTCTGACCATTATACCGGCAAGCTACAATCACACCTCCTTCCCACGCTCATCAAGGAGTCGAGGGGGAGTCAGTTACTCCTCCCACCCAATCAGTCGACCTTAGCTGCATGTGTGGGAGGTGACTAAGGATACATAAGCCAAGAATGCCAGGAGGCCCCTCTCTCGCCATTTTCTGCAGCTGTTAGGAAGTCATAGGATCTGTATTTGAGTTTGGATTTTCCAATGAAGCTGTAAATGGGGGGGCACCCACTCCTCTGTAAATAAAACCCCACCCTATGCTCTGTTAAAAAAGAAAATGATAGCTGAGAGGGATCTGACTAGACCACAAGTGGATGGACTTGCACTGGGGAATGTCTGGGGACACTGACTTACCACAGTGGGAGTGGGGGAGTTATGGGAGGGTGCTGGTGGGGACGGGGCTATAAAGATAATTCAGATTGTTTGAGATATTCTGTATGAAATACAAAAAAAATTCATTAAAAAAAAGTACAAAAGATTTAATCAAATATGTAACTGAAAATAAAAAAAATTACTTAAATTTATCTCTAAAAATATCATAGACCAAGCGTTCTTAATTCAAAGATCTGAAATATGAAAATTGTGGAGTGCTGACAGGATACTACAAATGGAAAATTCTACACATGGCCCATTTTGACAGGTTACAGTCAAAATGTAGGCACACAAAATAATAATGTAGGCACACAAAATAATACTGTGTAAAATTAACCTCTAATATCACGTTTAAGAGATATATGAAACAGAAATAGAATTTTCTTTTAAAAATTTTATTTACAGGATGGGTATGGCCAGCCTAGTCTGCATAGAGAGTTCCAGGCCAGCTGGGGCTACAGGGAGACCCTGTCTCAAAAAGACCAAAAAATTTTTTATTTAAAAATTTTATTTTATGTGTATTAGTGCTTTGCCTGCATGTATATAAGTGTACCCATGTCATGTGCTGCCCACAGGTCCCCTGGAACTAGAGTTATGGAAGGTTGTTAGCTGCCATGTAGGTGCTGGGAACCAAACCCAGGTCCTCTGCAAGAGCAGCCAGACCTCTTAATCTCTGAGTCATTGCTCCAGCCCCATAAATGAATTTTGTATCAGACTTGAGTCCTATCCTCAATCTATATCATGTAAATGCAAATAATCCAAAACATGGAAATGTGGGAGACAGGCTTGAGCCTAGGGTGACAGTCTTATTGACAGACATACAGCAGGCCTGAGGCAACGGCCCAAGAGCTGGAGCCACAAGAAACGCCTTGTGACATTTGCTCCCATTGGCAGATCATCAGACTGATGCCTAGAGCTTGCCACTCCCTAATCACCACCCTTGGAATCCAAAATTGCAACACTTAGATAGCACAACAGTCAGGGTCATTTGGTTTCCAGGAATCCAGCCTCTGTAATCTGAAACCCAGTATGCTAATGAGGCATCCTACCCACTATTCTGTGATAGGACGTTAAGTCTGTTATGCTAATAAGATGCTAAACCTGTTATGCTAATAAGGTATCCTACGTGCTGTACTGTGATTGGACCACTATCCCTATATAAGCTAGTGCCTTCCTGCAATAAAGCAGACCTGTGTCACTGAACCTGGTCTCCTGTGTCTGAATGCAGCTCTGCTGACACAGTCTCCTCACCAGCCCTGGGGTCTGGGACCAGGCAGAAGCGGTGACGATAGGAGGCAGAGCAGGGCAAGCAGAAGAGCTGCCTCAGCACCAGGCAAGCAGAAGAGTGGCCTCAGCCCAGGGCAGGCAGAAGAGTGGTCTCAGCCCAGGGCGAGTGGAGGAGCAGCCTTGACGCCCGTGAGAACGAAGGAGTGGCCACCACTGGCGGTGACCACATGGAAATATCCCAAATATAAAAGATGTCTGGTTCCAAGCATGTACGTGTGTGTGTGTGTGTGTGTGTGTGTGTGTGTGTGTGTGTGTGTGTATAAATACATATGCATTTTAAACAAAATATTCAAAAATTATTTCCAAGGTCTATAAGTAAAAATTTTGTTAAGAGTTATGCTTTATAAAAGTTTTTTAAAATCATTGATTTAGAATGCATTTTCCTAAAGACAGAAAAACGTTTATAGGCTAAGAAAAGTTGTTTACTAACATTCATTTATCCATTTTTATTCATTTTTATTAATTTTTTTTTCTGTGTATGAGTGTACTGTCTGCATGTGTGTTAAGTGCACTGGTGCATACAATGACTTTGGAGCCAGAAGATGGCAATGGATCCCCAAAGCTGGCATTACGGATGGCTGTTAGCTACCATGTGAGTGTGGGAACTGAATGCAGGTCCTCTTCAAGGGTAGTTAATGTTCTTAGCCACTGAGCCATAGCTCCAGCCCCTATTTATCCATTTTTAAAGACATATATTTTCCATATAATGAAGCCTATTAAAAAACTAAAATATTCAATATGTTAAACACATTCAAGAGACTCCTATGTAGAAGTTGTGTCTAAAGATCATCATTTTTTCTGTGAATTTGATCATTGTGAGTACTGGCAGTTCAGTAAGGGGCATTTATGGCTATGCTGTCTCTGTTGGCACTGCTAAACTGTGACAGAGCATCAAAGCAGCCACAGATAATATGCAAACATTGAGCAGCTCAACAAAATGTTATGTATGGACACTGAGATATGAATTTCATATAGTTTTCATGAAATTGGCTTTCTTTTTTTTTTTTTGGTATTTTTCAGACAGGGTCTCCCTGTAGCCCCAGCTGGCTTGGAACTCACTATGTAGACCAGGCTGGCCTTGAACTCACAGAGCTCCACCTGCTTCTGCCTCCCGAGAGCTGAGATTAGAGATTAAAGGCATGTGCCACCACTCCCAGCATCTGGCTTTCAATTTTTAAAACTTCAGAAACATTTTTAGCTACTGGATGAAGCAAAAAAACAAAACAAAAACAAACAAACAAAAACCATGGTGGACTACATTTATCCCTGGGCCACGGTTTGCTTACTGACTATATTCAGCAAGTACCTTGATATAAATCCAGTGCCTTCAAATAATACCTACTCGTTAAGCATTTTATATAGTTGACATTTATGAATAGGAGTGTTAGGCCTGCTATGTTAGGACAGGATCATAAATTTGTCATTGGTGAGTTATGTTTTAAAAAGTCCATTAAAAAAAAATATTTTATTTATTTCATGTGTATGTGTGTATTGCCTGCATGCAGGTAAGTGCACCCGTGTCGTACAATGCCCGGGGAGGACAGAAGAGGCTGTTGGATCCCCTGGAACTGGAGTTATGGACAGTTGTTAGCTGCCATATGGGTGCTGGGATTTGAACCTGGGTCTTCTGCAAGAACAGTCAATGTTAACTGCTGAGCCATCTCTCCAGCCCAGAAAAAAAAAAAAAATCCATTTTTTAAAAAATTGATAAATACTGCATAAAAGCAAAGTGGAATGTGATTATTTGCTTTGATGTTCTATTTTCAACTCTCATTCATCATAATTCAAGCTAAGAATTTAAGGACAGAACATGAATTCTTTCCTCCCTCCCTTTCCCACTCCCTCTTTTCCCCCTCTCATTTTTTGTCTTTCTTTTTGAGACTGGGTCTCTTGGAGTTCAGGCTGGTTTTGAATTCACTATGTAGCTGAGAATAGCCATGAATTTCTGATCCTCTTACCTCAACCTCACAAGTGCCAGGATTATAGGTGTTACCATGCCTGGGTCAGGTATCATTTCCTTAACATTGAAAGTAAGTCTTCATATGGCCTATATCAACATATACAGTGTTAGAAACTGCATTCAGTGTGGGTTTGAAGGTATTACTCATGACTTAACCTCAATCTTCTGGAGAGATTGCTGGCAATCTGTAGATCTTGGTTTCAAATGCATTTACTGAGGCCTTTTTTATTTCACATTTATATTCAGTAAGCATCAGTCGATGCCAGTGGTGGAGATACAGAAATGGTGCATGTGGGAGGGTTTGTCCAAGTCCCAAAGCTAAGAAGTAGAGAAAGGATGCAGAAGCAGGTATCCTGGCTTCTTAGCACATCATACCCCTTCCTTCTCTAAGGTTTCAAGAGTCAGTTCTGGTCAGGGACAGAGTCATACCATAGCCTGTGAAGTCTGCATCACTTGACTGGTACAATGGAGTTGGCGCTAATGGGATTTCTTGTGCACTGATGGAGGCTTTTGTCGAGTATTTTTGCTGTTTCATCTGGCTTACAACCTACAAAATTAAGGAAAATTACATGAGCATCAAGAAGAGAGTAAGAGAAAACTTCAAAACTCCTGTATCATTACCAAAGTAATGGTGAACTCCAGAAATGTCTTTTGAGGAAACAGGATGGAAGAGGTGGCAGGGGGAGGTTAGGTTGGTTTTTGGCCCCACCTTCCCTGAATCCCTATTTAACCTTGTATTTAAAATACTTTGATGAAGGGTTGGTCAAAGAAAGGAAGAAAGACAAATGCTGAAGACACTCCATCACTGTGGTCCCTGTGTGAATCTGAGGAGATAGGAGGCAGGAGGCAGGAACAAAAATATTAGCCATATGAAGTCTACATATCTGTGCCATGCTCATGAAACACTATCTACCTACAAATGCTCTGAACATACAACCATCCATTTCTTCTGTATCTAGCCACAGTAGTCAAAGGGAAAACAAACATTCTGAAAGCCTATTAATGCCAGCTATACCATGAACTCTTAATTCATCCAAGGACCTGTGCTTTTCATGTTTAATTCCCAGTGCCTGGAAAATAACAGACTCAACATCTGATAAATGAACGAATGGGTCAGTGAACAGATACAGAGAGTAAAAGTGAAAACCTCGGAAACCAGGATAGGAAATGATCTTACAATCCAATTAAAGGCACATGAATTTTTTGCTCTATGAACTCTGGAAATTTAACTTGTAGTTTGGCCTTTCACTTACAATACTTCCAGTGAATATTAGCATTAACAAACTAAGAAAAACAAAAAAAGATTCCATGCTTTCTGAATAGTCAGTTAAGAAATAGAAGCAGTGTCCGTCATGGTGGCACATACCTTTAATCCCAGTATAAGGGAGGCAGAGGCAGGTGAATCTCTCTGAGACTGAGTCCAGCCTAGTCTACATAGTGAGTTCCAGGCCAGCTAGGGCTACAGGGAGATCCTGTCTCAAAAAATCAAAATTAAAACCAAACCCCAAACCAAACCAAACAACAAACAAAAGAAATAGAGGTGGTGACTTGATCTGCCTGCTGGATCCCACTCCAGATGGGAGAGTCCAGTGGAGGCAGAGAAGTGTCAGGCTGTCCTTGGAGTCTAGAAATAGGAGCAAGATAACTGCCCTGAACCACGACACCCTGACATTCTGCGTGGGGAAGGTTGTGCCTTGGTACAGTTACTGTGTAACAACTAAGATGATTTCATCCACTATATATTTGTATTGTATCTTTTAGTTTTCAGAACACCTTTACCTGTGTGAATTCATTCAATCATAGAAAGAACTTTCAACGTTAGACAATTATTTAGTTTTGCAGGAAAACTAAGAAACAAATGTCAGCTGTCATCTCTGAAACCACCTAGCTAATTAGAGGAAGTGGTACGACTGGAAGTCAGAAATTGAAAAGTGCTACAAGTTTAAAGTGGTTATCAAACAGCTGCCAAGTCATGGTTCTGTGGATATTTGTTTTGTTTCTATAGATTTTCTTATAAAGATTTAAAAATTTTTATTACATATATAAGCATATGCTCATGGCACAGTGTGCATGCATATGGAGGTCAGAGGACAACTTTTAGGAATCAGCTCTTGCCTTCCACCTTTTTGAAGCAGTTTTTCTTGTTTCTATGCTGTGTACTCCAAGTCAGCCAGCCTCCAGGTTCCCAAGCAATTCTCCTGTCTCTGCCTCCCATCTGGCCACAGTGAGCTTTTTAATATGGGTTCTGGGAATAGAACTCAGGTAGTCAGGCATGTATGGTAAGTGTTGAGCCATCTCACTGGCCCCTCCTGTAGTTTTTCTATCATCATCTTTAATACTGACTGAATCTTTACTTAAAAAGCCTTATTCAGTTACATATTTGATAGTTATTTTAAAAAGAGGAAAGTGTAAAAAAGAAAAAAGTAGTCATTACTACTGAGCATTAGGGGCTGGTGGGATGGCCTAGCAGGTAAAAGTGCTTGCCACCAAGCCTTAGGACTGAGTCTGATCCCTGGGAACCACAAAGAGAGAAATGACTCTCAGAAGTGGTCCTCCAATCTCCACAATGCACCATCCCACAGATATGCACACACATGAAAAGTAGATACATAAATGTTAAAAAAAAAAAACAAAATAACAACAAAAAACCTGAGCACTGGAATGAGCAAGCTAGACAACTGCTCCAAGGATATTTCCTAGCTTTTCTGAAGCCAGGTGTGCATACTGATCAAGTCTGGCTAACAGGGTATAAACTGAACTGAAGACACAATTTTCTGGTCTTTCTCTTAAAAGCAGCATCTTGCTTTTCCTTTTTCCCTGGCTGGAATACAGGGCTGTTGGTAATAAGTGGGGTGAGACTCTTAGACCAAGAACCAGATGCCATGATACAAGGATGATAACCAGATGAGATGTATGCCATAGTTTGGATTCTAATGCTATGATAAAAGACCTTGACCAAAACTAGGGTTTATTGCATCTTACACTTCCAAGTAACAGTCCATCTTTGAGGGAAGTCAGGCAGGAACTTAGGGCAGGAACCTGGAGGCAGGAACTGAAGCATGGACCATGGAGGAATGCTGTTAACTTGTGTGCTCCTCTGGTCTGGGTTCAGCCTGCTTTCTTATACAACCCAGGACCACTTGCCTAGGGGTGATACTGCCCACAGTGAACTGGGCCTTCTCACATCACTCAAAAATCAAGAAAATGTCTCAAAGACATGGCCACAGGCCAATCCAATAGAGGAAATTCCCCAATTGAGGCTTCTGCTTCCCAGGTGTGTCAAGTTAACAACAGAAACCAATCATGACAAGGTACTTGGGTCTGTGATCCTCAAACTGATCACACTCAAGAATGCTATGGGAAACAGAAACTTCTTATAGTAGCTAAGCCTTTGTCTTACATAACACATCTAACTTCCATGTGCATCATCAACAACGAGACCTAATGTTAGTTACAGAGCTTTCTTTAAAAAAAAAAAAAAAAAAAGCCATGGAATTTCAGAGCAGGAAAACACAAAAAAGCACAAGGGGTCATTAGATCATGACTTTCATAACAGTAGGGAATGGCGGTTGCTCATCTCTGTATCTCAGTTCCATGTAGCATCCAGTGCTTATCAGGTGACCACAAATATCAACGGAGGGCCAGTGACTTGGCTCAGGAGGTAAAGGTGCTTGCCATCAAGCCTGAAGACCTGATTTCGATCTCTGGGATTCACGTGATGGAAGGAGAGAACTGACTCCCACAAACTTCCTCTGACCTCCACTTGTGTACTGTGGTACATGTGCACTTGTGTACTCACAAACAAAATAAGTAAATTAAAAAATTTAAATATCAATGTAATGCAATTCAAACATAAGGAAACAGTTTGTAGAAATGAGGCAAACCTGGAACTCTGGGGCTCATCTACTGGCACAGAACCAAATTACCAAGCATGAAAGATCAGAGAGAACTATTTTCCAGTGTTACTGCTCTATTAGGTGGTAAAAGTTGGATAGGTCATCAATATGACTAATTCTGTGGTTCACAAGCCTGTTTCCCAAAGGGAATACTATAGAAGTTTTAAAAAGTTATGGATGCTGGGACCCCTCCCCTAATAACAAATAAACTGGCATCTAGGGATGCCAGGCAGTGTTTTTGTTGTTGTTTTAATTGAGACTTACTGCTTAGAGTTAAACCATGGATTCTTAACTCAGGGCTTCTAAGAAACCCACAGATGGAATTCTGGGAGCTGTAAAATCTCTGTGGTCATACAAAATTGTACTTATTAGTTCTTTGGGGAAAGGGGTCAGGTCTTCATGACACCAAAAAAAAAAAAATCACTACTTAAAAGAAGACATGAATTGCTAAGTTTGCTACCACTAATTAGCTGTGCAACTGCAGAAAGGGTACTCAGCCTCCTCATGTACAAACTGGTAGCGAGGCATCTGTATTTATGAGGTGGTTACAAAGGCTAAAAGAGAAAGAAACTTATCATTGTGCCCAGAACAACTTAGGAGTCGAATTAATACCAGAAAGTCATGCTTTTTTGCCCTTTTATAACATATTATAAATGGCTGGCCAGCTTTGGATCAGAAACCTTCAGGAATGGAAGATTCCATTTCCATGAAAAGCTGGCCTGGTCTCACTGCAGAAGCTGCCCACCATTGGTGGACTGTCCTCTTCTGCAGCTGCAGGACTGGCACCATTGCCTTCCCAGAGGACTTAGGTAGCACAGGGCACATTCAGTAGAGAAAAGGCCAGATGATGTGTAGGATCCACTCCAGCTCTAAAACTATGTTTTATCAAATTTAGAGATAGATGCCTGCCACTGTAACTTGAAATGGTGAGTGTCTAAACTATTAACAGTATTTGTAAACACACTGCACAATGCAACACAGGGTTTCAAATAAAAAAAAATAGTTGAACCTACTTTAGTTATTTCTAAAGCTCTCTCTGTGTGTGTGTGGGGGGGGGGTACAAGGGATAAAATCAGACATGCTAGGCAAGAACTCTACCAGTAAGGCACATCTCTAGCCCTACCTCTAGTTGTTTTTATTTAAGTGTTTAGGATATAACTTTAGAGAATTTTCAAAAGCATTTTATTTGAGAAATCTTGAAATATATACTTTCTATATGATCTCATTATCTATAACTCCTGAATAATGGAAATTTTAGTGGCACAAAAGTATAAAGTAGTACACAGAAATGAAAACCAGAACTTAAAAAGAAAGCAAGGGCCGGTCGTGGTGGCACATGCCTTTAATCCCAGCACTTGGGAGGCAGAGGCAGGCGGATTTCTGTGAGTTCAAGGCCAGCCTGGTCTACATAATGAGTTCCAGGACAGCTGGGGCTACAGGGAGACCCTGTCTCAGAAAGATCAAAAATAAAAACAACAGGGGGCTGGAGGGACGGCTCAGCAGTTAAGAGCACTGGCTGCTCTTACAAAGGACAGGAGTTCCTTTCCAAGCAAATACATGGCAACTAACAACTGTCTATAACTCTAGTTCTAGATCTGATGTTCTCTTCTCACATCTTTGGGCACTGCCATGGGTGCAGGCAAAACTCTCATATACATAAAATAAAAATAAATAAATAAAAAAATAAATGAGGGACTGAAGAGCTGGCTCAGAGTTAAGAGCGCTGGCTGCTCCTGCAGAAGACCCAGGTTCAGTTCCCAGCTCTCACATAGTAGCTAACAACCTTCTATAACTCTAGTTTCAGGGGATCCTATGCTGTCTTCTGGACTCCATGGGCATTACATGACACGGGTGCACTTTACATACATGCAGGCGCGGAGGTCAGAAGAGGGCTTCAGATTCCCCTGGAACTGGAGTTAAGGATGGATCGGAGCCACCATGTGGGTGCTGGGAATCGAACCCAGGTCCTCTGCAAAAGCAGTCAGTGCTCTTAACCACTGAGCCATCTCTCCAGCCGCCTTATATTTATATTTTTACAGGACTAAAAAAATCTCACATTTGAAAATTTTATATATGACATTATGTAAGACAGAATGTTCTTAGAGTTTAACTGCAAAAGGAAGTTTTTTAAAAAAAATGTTTTAATTTGTGTGACAAGGGGAAGTGAGGTGACAACTTTCAGGAGTTGGTTTTATTCTTCTACTATGTTGGTCCCAGGGACAGACCCCTGGTCATCAGGTTTGGTAGCAAGCACCTTTACCTTCTGAGCCATCCTGTTGGCCCAAGGATGTGTTTTAAGCATCTGGTTAGGCTATGAGAATGGTGAAGAGAGGATACCTGCACATACCTGTGTGTGCTCAGTGACACCATCATCAGGCTGCAACATATCCCCAACCTTCTGTCCGTAAGAAAGGATTTGCTCTCATCACAATCCCCTCCTCTTCCTCTAGAGCATAGTTTATAGCCCATGCTACCTCAGTAGAGAAAATACTGAATACAAATTACGCACACTGTCAGGTGACTCCAGTGCCTTCTGCTGTTCTGTCACCATGCTGTAATCAACCACCTGGGACAGGTCCTCCTGAAATGGAAAAGATATAACCAGTTAGCAGCGCTGCAGGTCTCCATTGACCTTCCAACCCTAGATGCCAAGCACCACCTAACTCCAAAAAGCAAGCATGAATCTCCTAGACGGACTCTCACAGGTGAGCCCAGGCTTGCCCTAGCCAGATGCTCTTTCCAGCCCTTTCAGACCTCTAGGTTTTAGTCATATGGGATGCCCTTTGTAGGTCTTTCCAGCCAGTCTTTACTCTCTGTGGCACGAGTATTCTTAAATCTGTATTTTTGCTGAACATTAAATACACTTTTAGGGTTCAAATCCTGATATCAGAACTTTTTCTCCTTAAGATACTCATTTAGAGGCTAAAAGCACATGTAAAAGAGATACATAAGAAAGAAAGGTAAGTTAGTCCTGAACTCCATGGAGGAGTAAGACTCAGACTCAGAAGAGATGAAAATTATCAAGACGTGGGAAACTGGCACACAGACAAGGGTGGCATGTCAGTAGCAGTAAATGATGGCATGAATAAACTGGCTGGAGTCCTGCTGGCTGACTTCACCATGTCCCTCTCTCATCAGAGGTGGATTTATAGGCTCAAGCATCATCTGATGGTTTAGATCAGGGCAGAATCTCCTGCAATTGGGTTCCAACCAGGCTGGGACCATGAGAGACAGGAGAGATGCTGATTTCAGTAGGAGGGAGGATGTGCTCACTCTGACACTACTGAGTGGTGTGTGGTACCTGGCCATCAGGAAAATGAGGAGGATGACTTTTATCATAAGTGTTAGGAGTTTGTGATTCTAGCTTCTTTACTTAAGAAGTTGGAAAATCTGAATATGCTGGGTCAAAACCTCTTCCAGCCTTAATTCTCTATAACTGGAAAATAGTCAGACTATAGGGATGTTGAAAGGACTGAGCAAAGCAATCCATGGGAGTACTTGCCATGGTACCTGGCAAATAACCATACTCATTAAAGCTCACAGTGGTAGTCCTAATGGCCTCATCAGCTGAATCTGCCTGGCTGACGACTTGTACAGGGTTTTTTCCTCAGCTGGAATAACGACCTGACATCCCCACTCCAGAGGAAGTACAGTCACACACCTATTCTTCCCAGCCTCCTGTCATATTTGTAGCCATATAAAGCAGAATGTAAATCAGGTCCCAGTCTCATCCTGTGCCATCAGTTCTCTATTGGTTTATAACCTTAAAGATTCTTTTTTTCACATAGAGTGTCACTACATAGCCCTGACTGGCTTAGAATTCAGAGACCCACCTTCCTCTGTCTCTAGTATTGGGATTAAAGGTGTGTACCACCACACTCAGCTAAGATCTAAAAGATTTAACTGCAGTATAGATTTGGGAATTGGGTCCTAGGTCCCTTGCACGACAGGGACTACCCTGAGCTGCTTACCTCCTGACTTACTTTTAGGACCAGACTTGCTTCATTCATGTAGATCTCTGTGACATTTCCTTTATAGGAAAAAGTTCCTAGAACCCATTTCACCCCACTCCTTACACTTTGCTACTAAACAGATTATATGATATAAACAAACTCACAGTCACTTCATACCATAACACTTCCTTGAGCCCTCGGTGATAGTTTTTCCAGAGCATGCCAGTTTCCCACTCTCCATCCTCTCGCCCCTGGCTTTTGTCTTTTTTAAAAATTATTATTATTTTAACTTTATTTTATGTGTATGAGTGTATTGCATGCATGCATGTTAAGTGTCATGCAATGCCTGCAGAGGTCAGAAGAGGGCATTTGATCTCCTGGAACTGGAGTTACTGATGATTGTTAGCAACCATGTGGGTGCTGGGAATCAAACCCCGGTCCTCTGCAAGAGCAACCAGTGCTCTTAACTCCTGAGTCAGCTCTCCAGCTCCCTTGTTTTGTGTTTTAAAAGACAGGGTCTCTTTGTAGCCCCAGCTGGCCTGGAACTTGTTATGTAGACCAGGGTGGCATTGATCTCACAGAGATATGCCTGCCTCTCTCTGGCTCCCAAGAGCAGGGATTAAAGGCAAGTGCAACCACACCTGGCATTTTGCCCATTAAAAATTTTTTTTATTTATTTATCTTCATTTTATGTATATGAGTGTATTCCCTGAATGTATGCAAGTACACCCATGTTGTGCAATGCCTGCAGAAGTCAGAGGAAGGCATTAGATTCCCCTGGACTAGAGTTATGGATGGTTGTTAGCCACCATGTGGGCGCTGGGAATTGAACCTGCAAGAGCAGTCAGTGGTCTTAACTGTTGAGCCATCTCTCCAGCACCTGTCCCTGATTTTTGAGATGTGATCTGGATAGATAGTTCAGGCCGTTTTGAACTCAAGAGCCTCTTGCCTTAGATCGAGAGGGCTCTATTTACAGGAGTGTGCTCTTGCAGCTGGGATGATCAATTCATTTTGTCAATATATTTTTAGTATCACACTTCATCTTTTGTTTTTCATCTCCCATATAATGTGATCAACTTTGTCTCATTATCTCTTTAATATATGGCAGAATAGACTATGATCTGAATGAGTGTTAAGTGAACCAAGATTTTGGAACTTGAATTTTGAAAAGCGCATACGTGGATTCTCAAGCCAGTCACGAAACGAGGATCAAAGTGAATGTGACCCTGTGGCCTTTACTTTAAATGATCACAGTTAAAAAGAGAAAATCTTCATGGAAAGGTTAGAAAGGCTAATGGGACAGTAAAAATTGCAAACATTATTTCTGCCAGAGAAAATCAAAAGGCCTTAGGAGGAACAAAAACAAGTCTTCAGGGGCTGGAGAGATGGCTCAGCGGTTAAGAACACTGGTTGGTCTTGCAGAAGACCAGGGTTCGAATCCCAGCACCCACATGGCAGCTAACTATCTCTAACTCCAGTCCCAGGGGATCTGACAAATCTCTTCTGACCTCCGCAGGCATTGCATGACATGGGTGCATTTACCTACATGCAGGCAATACACGCATACACATAAAATAAAAATAAATAAAAACACCCCCCCCAAAAAAACCCAAGTCTTCAACATGAAGTGATCTTGCAAACCTGCAAGCCTGCCTTAACCCCAGTCAACAGCAACTAGATCAAGGAGCTGACTCTGAGCTGCGTATCAAAACCTCTAATCTGCACATCATCAGAGGAACTACTAGTTTGGTCCATTTTTTTTTTCCTAAAAATTTTTACTGAATTACTTGTTTGGTCCATTTTTTTTTTCCTAAAAATTTTTATATATATTTCTTTTGTGTGTGTGTGTGTGTGTGTGTGTGTGTGTGTGTGTGTAGGTCAGAGGACATCTTGTGGGAATTGGTTTTCTCTTTCCACCATGTGGGTTCTAGAAGTTGAACTCAGAGTCAGCAAGTCTTGGTGGCAGGTACCTTTACCTGCTGAGCCATCTTGCTGGTCCCTTAATTTTTCCTTATCATTTACATTGAAAATAAAAAGGGCCAGAATATATGGGTTCAGACTCTGACTCAAGGGACAGGGGCTATTATAGTATGACAGTGACAACAAAAATAGCTAAAACCTATTGAGTATTGTCTATGTATCAATTACCAAGCTAGTTGTGTCACACATTTATGGATGTGCACAACAGACTTATGCATTAGATATTGCTATTATCTATTTTAGGCTGGGTATGGTGGTGCCTGCCTGATCCCAGTACTTGGGGGATGGGGGCAGGGGGATCAAGAGTTCAAGGTCATCTTCAGCTATATAAAGCTACAGGAGACACTGTCTCAAAAAACTACAAGAAAACAAAACCTTCCAAACCCAATCATCTCTTTGTAGAGATTGAGTAACTGGAGCACTGTGTAGATAAAATTATCTGCCAGGACTTAACTCAGACAAATCTTGCTCTCACCCAAGAAGAAAACCACATGGGAAAGAGAATGCACTGCTTGCCTTTCACCCCCCCTCCCCCCGCCAAGACTTTGCCTGCCTTGTAGAGAGCCTCGATTTTAAGATTTGACACTGGGTCAGAACAAGTTGTATGCATTTATTTTTAACCTGAGATTTGAAACAAAACAATAGTTCATGGCCCTGTGGTGACAAGGGTGACGTTCCTGTGTTTGAACATGAATTTAGAATTTGCTAACCTTCCAGCAACTGCAGCAGTGGAGCTCTTAGCATTTTTGGACATGGGTTTGGGGACATTTTATTTTTATTTTTTGTCTTTTTTGAGACAGGGTCTCCTTGTAGCCCCAGCTGGTGTGGAACTCTCTATGTAGACTAGGCTGGCCTCAAACTCAGAGATCTCCCTGCCTCTGCCTGGGATTAAAGGCATGCGCCACCACGCCTGGCTAGTTTGGGGACATTTTAAGATGCTGACTTGTATCTTACCTCATGAAAATAATGGATACAACACATTTGGTTGGCCATGTAAGCCTCAGCACAGTGTTTGAGTGCCTAACAGACAATGCTTTTGTGCACTGGTGAAATCACATTGATCAGCAGACGGGCTTCTGAGGGTTGGACATTAAGATCATACTGGACCATCACACTGGATGATAATTACAAGAGATATCAGGCCTGCAACTATCAAAGCTGACTGACTACTGCTCTGAGGCTGGGTAATTAAAGTACCATTCGTTCTGGTCACAGTAATGGGCTAAGAGCGACATCTTGACTAAACAAAAACAGCCTGCAGATTTTCTGAAGTAGATTCAAGGGAGGGAGCTGAGCTCTTTTCTGGTGGAGACTCAGCACTGGCAGAGATGCACAGTGTGCTGAAGGAGCAGGTCTGCAGTAGAGGGTAGGGGGGAGTGGGAAGGTAGGGGTGGGGGTTGAGGGACATGGGATGGGATGGGGGAATCTGACACCTGCAGCCTTTACATAAATTTCTGCCTTTCTCTAAGTAAGGTCACTAAGCATTCCCATAGCACCCAATTTTTCTTTCTTTCATTTTTTAAAAAAAACCTGTTAATTGTTTATATATTAAGAGAAACTGTTCCTTAGCCCACATATTCATGTTTCATAGTTCAGGAACACAGGTCATTAACAAATTTCTATGGCGCACAATCCAAAGAAATCTTTT